ATTCCTGCTTTAAGGACAAGAGCACAGGTAAACCAAAAGTTTTCATGGAATAAATGCATTTCATGGGGCTGTTTAGAGGATGTGAAGTATCTTTGGCTGTTGTGTGTTGTAGATTTTTACTCCATTTCAGGACTTAGAAGAAGATTGGAGTACCTGATTTTTGTCCACTAGTGATGTTGAGCAGTGCAGGCTTTTACACATAATTGTTCATCTTACTTTAGGCTGCTAAGCTGTTCGATTCAGAGGCCAAAAGGCAGCTTATTTCCCAGTCTGTTATTACCAATTGCTTTTTACAGTGAAATACATGTTCCTAGCTACCAGGAGGCCATGGTCTTTAACTTGCACGTTACACTGGATTTAATAAGTTAGTGGCTTGATGCAGAGTGCCAAACTTGAAGCCTGCTTTGAGGTAGAGTGCTTTTGAAAACTCAGTAATAAAGACCATAGCTGTGCATATGAAATTTTTTTTATGCTTGCAGTGCCAGAGGCATGTTTGGTACATTATAGTTCATTGGGAAAATGCCAATACCACGTAGTGAAGCAAAGACAAATATTCAGTAGTTTGCCTTTTCAAAGTTCTGTGACATATTTTCCATGTATTAAAATTAGCATTTTACAGAAAATGAACCTCTGAAAAGACTTGTAGTAGCATAACTGTTTATCAGACTCTGGTAGGTAACCCTTATGAGTTGTTAACAACCTTTTAAGAGCCTTGGCGATGTCAGCGTGCCTTCCTGGTGCGTTAGCCCCTGATTTCTCCTTTTGTTTAAACAGGAGCACGTGAAGTGGGTCCATACTGAAATGCTAGCCAGAAGTTCTGAGCTGAAGCTCATTTACGTGACCCCGGAGAAGATTGCCAAGAGCAAGATGTTCATGTCCAAGCTGGAGAAGGCTTACCAGGCAGGGCGCCTGGCCCGCGTCGCCGTGGATGAGGTCCACTGCTGCAGCCAGTGGGGCCACGACTTCAGGCCTGGTATGCTCCTTAGAAATCCAGTGTGTGGAGTTACTTAGGCTTCAATAAGCAATGAGTTAGGCCTGAAATCAAGCCAGGTGCTTTCTGTGTGAAGTCAATACTTAGTGTATGGCAAATACCTGTGTTAGCTCAAGCACTTTACATTTAAGTCACAAATGACTGTATCCTTGTTCAGGAGCTAAGTTCCTGCAAACAGAGGTGATTTTGATGGAGATTTTGCTTTCAGTACTCTAAAAAAATCCTAAATCAGTGTACTTTAATTTGAGCTTAATAAAAGGGAAGTTTTTAGCTGCCATCTCTAATATGGACAATACTGTCACCTTTAATCTACTGCTATGTTAAAAGGTGTCATTCTGCACACTGCTCCCTAACACTCTGGGTGACGTAGGTACAGTGCTTTGTAAATTCTTGAGGTGTATTTTAATCACTTCTAAACCAATTTGAAACAAATGCCCTTGACTTGCAGGGGAAGAAAGTGTGCTTCACTTTATTTCCTATCTTGTCAATTGTAGAGGGCAGTTACTGGTTACTGTTTCCTTGCCTTTGAAAGAAAACCTGGTTGGAAGCACCAGTAACTGTGAAGTCAACCTTTGTAGTCTTGTTAGAAAGTGGTGGCTGAGCAAAGAGCCTGCCAGTGAAACGGGCAGTGTGAATTTGGATGTGTACCTCTGGCTGCATTACTGCTATAAGGCAGCAAGTCATTGTCAGCACTGAGCCTTTAAAATCCGTCCCTAGGGCAGGCTGGTCTGTGTGTCCAGATTCCACCTTGCTTATTTATTAGAAAAGATGTGTTTACTGAAATGCTGTTTGTAAAAACAGACCTGTGAAATAACCTAGCTATCGGTTAATGTGATGCCACTTACATTTTTCTAACTTTTTAAGAACTTCTGTTTTGCCTTCTGAATTGCGGCTGCTTTTATAAAATTCAATTAGAAGAGAAAGCTGCTATTTTGATAAGTGCAACCTTTGCATTACTCCCATTGGATGTATAAATCAGTTTGTGGTAAATTGATCAGTGATAACTCTTATTTAATGCTATCTACATTAACATATTTTTTCACTTTGAGTCTGTGGTACAAGAAATCTTTTTCTGTCCCCTTTTTGTTTTCTTGCTTAGACTACAAGTCTCTGGGTATCTTGAAAAGACAGTTTCCAAATACTCCCTTGATTGGGTTGACAGCCACTGCTACAAATCATGTTTTAAAAGATGCTCAGAAGATTTTGCATGTTCAGAAGTGCATTACTTTCACTGCATCTTTCAACCGGCCCAATCTCTATTATGAGGTATGTTTTGTTGCCTGTTTGTTTGACTGCATGGTGGTCATGTTGGCTTCTGTAAGTTGCAGTCAATGCAATTTAGAGTAGATTTTCAATTATACACTTTAATAATATTTTTTCAACTGAATGGTGGTGTTATTCCATGACTTTTATCTTGCTGTTGTCTGCAGAGGAACCTGGCTTGCTCTGTCTTTGTGAGCAAGGCTTAGGAGATAGGACTGTGTTACAGGGCAGAGGTAGGTAGCAGGCTCAGACTGCTGAGGAATTGCTGGAAGATGCATCATAGGATTGCAAAAGTTGTTAATTACTGTGTTGTAATATATTTTCAGTTTGACCACAGCTGCTTTTATAGTTCTTCATGGAAAAACTTGTGTGCTTTTTTTCCTATGGACTTTTGAGATGTAATCTGACTACACAAGGAGAATCTAGTAATTTTAGTTTAATGGCAGAAAAATTGTGTTTATTGTACTGGAATAGAATGTTTGACAGATTGCATACCCACCTGAGGAAGTCACTGGCATCTATTTACTATATTTTTAAGGTTCGCCATAAGCCTTCAAATAATGAAGATTTCATTGAAGACATAGTTAAGCTCATCAATGGAAGATACAAAGGACTCTCAGGTAAAAAGTGTAGTAAATAAAACAGAAAAGAGAAAAAAAATGTTATTTTTTTTGTAATCTTCAGTGTTACAGGGATGTTTTCGAGTGATCCTGAAACATAAAGATATTCTACCTTCACCATACATTAAACATCCAGCATTAGAAGAAATGAGATTTAATAAGATCCATACCTTTAATAATTACTCTTTTAATTCATTAGTGTTTAAATGTCTTTACAGTTCACTTATGTCTTCTGAAGTATTGGAATCAATGTTGATGTATATAGAACAGTGTTTACATAGATACATATGCAATAATAGCAATTTTTAAGGCTGTAAAAACAAGGCTCCAAAAAAGCATATGTTCTTGAATCACATGTGTGTCATTTAGTATCTGTGTGTCAGGATACTTACTATATTTAATACTTTTTTCATATTCATATTTCATAAGATTCATACATTCAGTGCCCAGACTGGACACGTGCTGGGGTGAATTGTGCTCTTGTGATGAAAGCAGAACACTGGAAGTTGGACTTTTTTTATTCCATAAGTCACGTAGTGCAAATAAAAAGAGATGTATTGCAAAGGCAACAGAACCAAGTTTTCTGTAGCAGCAGTCTGTCCCTGTCTCAGCTAGGGAATGCTGTGGCTGTGATGAGCAGCTCCCCAAATACAGACTGCTAAAATGAACACAAGCCATGGAGGTTTGTGTGTAGTCTTTGACTTAGCCCAGTCTGGCTAATGACAAAAAGCAGATTTGTCTGAAACCTCAGGTGAGATGTTGTAGGTGTCATAAGGAGCAGCATCCCTTTACATAAGCATTAATAACCATTGTCATCTTTGATCCTTAAGAGAATTCTTCCGTGATTATGTGGATTGGCATCCATATTTTCTCTTTAGCCTACAAGTCAAAGCTGGTAATTGAAATTCTCTTTGTGGCTACCAATACTGCAGACTGAACTGATTGTTTACTGGGGTTGTTTTGGTTATTTTTAAATTAATAGAAACTTTCAAAGCTGTGTTTAAGTATTGGGGATTGTTTGCTTTTTTTAAGGCACAACAATAAGGCATCTTTCACTTTTGTGCAGGGATTGTTTACTGTTTTTCTCAGAAGGATTCTGAGCAAGTTACTGTGAGTCTGCAGAAGCTGGGAGTCAGGGCAGGGACTTACCATGCAAACATGGATGCTAAACATAAGACCCAAGTTCATAAAGGATGGGCAGCAAATCAGCTCCAGGTGAAGTCAATACTTTTCATGGACTTATGTCTCATTCAAACAAATTGTGTTTTGGTACCCTGATGGTTTCTTAATGTTTTTTCAGGTTGTAGTGGCGACTGTTGCTTTTGGCATGGGAATTGATAAACCTGATGTGAGGTTTGTGATTCATCATTCTATGAGCAAATCCATGGAGAACTACTACCAAGAAAGTGGACGTGCAGGTATTGTAGGAAATGGATTTTGTAAAATCACCATTTGCATCCATTAAACCAATAAAACTGTACTTCAGTGTCAGCCATTTGTGCAAAGGGTTTGTCTTTGAGGCAGGTTCCAAAGTATATGGTGCCCCTGCCTCTGTGAAGAGGCTTTAAAGCAAATAGAAACTACTTCCATGATCTCAGGTCTGTACTGCAACGTAGCAAAGAACCACTACGTGCCTAGACTCTTACTTAGCATTTTTTAAATTTCTTGATTTTTTTTTGACACCTATAGCTTACTAGAATAATTTCATAATGTGAAATTATTAGATGTCTAATTGCTGTATGAGTTTCAGTGGCCTCAGAAATAGGAGTAGGATGGGGAGTCTGAAGGAGGGAATTTTAAGGATTGATCATTTTGTAGCAGCACTAAATAGCTGTTACAGCTTTAAAAAAATAGTGTGGTTGTGGGGGTTTGGTTTGAGTTTTTTGACCGTGTGCATTATTAGTTTTTCAAAGACAGATTTGAATCTATGTGGAGGAAAGCTTTTTAAGGACCTTGAGGGGCAGCTGGGTGAGATTTTAACTATGCCTGTGTGACAGAAATTGGCCTTAATTCGAACTCCCACAAACTTTGATGACTTATATCTCTTTGTACTAGAACCTTGTTACTTCTGGGTAGTGCTGGAGGTGACAGGGAGTATAAATGTTGAAGTGGTGAGACAAGAGCCATATAGGTGCTGAAATAGCTGGTTCACAATGTTTATCAGTTTGGGATGATTAAAGCAAACTCTTGTGTTTCTTTTTCATAACTTGATTTAAATTAGATGCTTCTGGGGGGGGATTAATTAATCACTGTTACTCATTTAATGTACTACTTAGCTTATGAAACCTTCCTTTTTCCCCTTGACTGCCATCCAAGTGAAGTAGCTCCTTTCTGTTACATGTTACAAGTTATTAAATGTTGAAGTTTTTTAGACTTTTTTTCTGCTTTCTGGATCTTGAAAAGAGGACACCCATCAGTGCATTATTGGGAGGAGGGGGCAATGGGAAGGACAGGATGATCTAAGTTTAGCTATACAAGGTACACTTTGGTTTTAAATGGAATATTTTTTAAAAAACATACCTAATTCTATGTGTTAATACCTCATAGGTATTTGAAGCTCACAATGGCTTTTAATCAAATAGGAATTAGGCTTCACACTGTGGTTGGGAAGGGTTTTCCAAGAGAAGTTAGGGTGAAGAAAATAGTAGTTTCACTGACTTTTTGTATGACACTAATATTTTAGTTGTTAAAGAGCCAAAATCTTCATGCTGTAGATATAACAGAAAGTATTTTCAGTTTGCCTTATTCTGTACTTGTAGAAGACTGTTCTAAATCTATTTCATTTCTAGTCTGTATCATGCTATGTTCTAAGGCTGATAGGTTACTCTTGATACTCTGTTACAGTCATCCACCCTCTGTACAGGGGTTGCAGAAGCCTGTGCAGATAAGAATGAAATTTGTATCTGAAAATGTTATGCTTAAAATACATCCCTTCCAATTGTTTTTGTTTTAATGCATTGCAGGTAGAGATGACCAAAAAGCTGACTGCATTTTGTATTATGGTTTTGGAGATATATTCAGAATCAGCTCAATGGTGGTGATGGAGAATGTAGGGCAAGAGAAGCTGTATGATATGGTGTCTTACTGCCAGAATATGAACAAGTAAGTTGCTGTGGAGGCTTGGTTGCTCAGTTTTTAAATAGGCTCATTTTGTTGGGCTTTTTAGAGGGCATTTGAAAAAAGATAAAATCAAAACCCAAACAAACAAAACAAAACAACAAACCAAACTAAACCACACACAAAACTACCACCACCAAAACAAAAAGCCCACCACACTGGTCTGGCTGCTCAGCACGTGTACTCCTGCACACAACTGCATGTGGGTGTGTTGCTTGCTAGCTTCAGGATAGAGTTCTGGAAGCAATAATGTTGAGGTGAAATATCTGTCTACAAACATGGTTGGGATTTCAAATCCCATTCAGAGTGAAAACTGGAATGCTTTGGTTTGTACTTAAAGGTCTCAGCATTTAATGGCCATATGGGAATCCACATGTGTTTAATGCTTCATCTGCTGCACTGACCTGTTTGGAATACTTCATGGAAGACACTTGTATCTGTGTTGTGGACAGCTGGTGCATTCAGCACAGCCTTTGTTGGCCTCTGTCTAAGAATTCATTCATATTGTTATGATTTTTCATGCTGTTGGATGTACTAGTTATCCCTGTTAGCATGACTAATGGGCAGTGCTGTGTTGCAGTATTTGCTTCCTGATTCTTCCTGAGGTGATTCTTCACGCTCGTGTTGAGATATGAGCTGGCCCAAGGGAGTTTTTTTGCCACTTCCATGATGTATAAGAGAGGTGTAGACTCTTGGGTTCTAGTGCCCCTTTGCTCTCTGTCCTTGCAGATGTCGCCGGGTCCTCATAGCCCGTCACTTTGATGAAGTGTGGGATTCTGCCAACTGCAACAGAATGTGTGATAACTGCTGTAGAGAGAATTGTAAGTAAATTGGTTTTATAACCAAGGACAGGGAACATGGAGAAGGTTGGCTTAAAGGAATATCTAGTTTAGACAGAGTGTGAGCAACTTCTGTGAAGTGTACTCAAAATACTACATGTTTCCAAGGTGAAAATTTTGTCATGCACATCAGTATTCAGTGGCTTAGTGCTGCCAGGTTCAGGGTCTTTAGCTAAACACTTCCTGATTTGGCTTTTTGCCTGAGGCCAAACACTTTACTGTTTTTCAGGCTCAGCTATTCAACTGTTCCCAAAGTGAAGATGGGGCAAGGGGGGAGAGTGTTTACCTTACCTGTTTTAAAGATTCTGGTATGTGTTGGGTTTTGTTCCAGGATTTCTTTGGATGTGAAAGCTTTATTTTGAGAAAGAGCCTCTTGCTCTCTGCATGCCAATCCGTTCACACTTGTGCAGACTGTGCCTCCTCATAGCCTGTGTCCTCTTGCAGTTTGCCTGGTGACATCTCTGAGGACTGCCATGCTGCCTGCTGCTGAGCTGTACCCAGGTCAGGACCGTGTGGGGCAGTTGTGCAGAAGAGCAGAGCATGGCAGTTCAGGAGTTTGCTGTGTGTTAGCCCCGACAGCACCAGCTCTGCCTAGTGCGTGCTCCTCCTTTGGAAGAAAGTTGAGGCTGTAAGAGGGAAGATGTTGGGCCAGACCAGAGGGGATTTGGGAGACGAGCTGAAGCAGGACCTGCTGCCTGGGGAGGGATGGTTTCAGTAGAACACAGTTCTGGGACATAAGTTGTTTTGCTTCTTTGCCCAGAAACATCCTGGGCAGTGTTGGGTGGCTAGCTTGAACTGCGCTTTCATGGGTGACCACTGCCTGCTCTAACTGTCATTTTTGGTACCCATCCAGAAAGCTTTAACTCTCTGGAGATGCACAAACTCTCTTTTGCTGCACTTTGTGAGTGAGAGCTGTGGTTTAGACTAGGAAACACCAATTAAAATTGGAAAGCTTTGAAAATAGTGCCAAGAAAAAGTTGGTCTGGGTCATCTCTAAGCGGACACACAAAACCACCTGAAATTTCTTTGAGGACCAGGTGAATTTTTGTATCGTGTGGAAACTACAGTCTCCTCATAGCACAAATCTGTTGCGAAGCATTTGGATGATGTAGTGATCAACACTTGAAAAACTTAGGAACAGCTCTGTATTAAAAGCTCTTGTCATAACTTCCTACACATTTTGGGGGGAGTTCAAGCAGACAAAACAAAGATACTTAACCTTTTCTTTTTATAGTTAGCTATATAATAAAATTGTGTTGCAAAGCCATGCAAGTAACAATGTCTTGTTATCTTCAAGTTGGTAATGGAGCTTATTTGAAATTAACACTGGGATCAGAGGTTGAGAAGATTATGGAGCTGGCTTGTATCCAAGACTTATAAGAGCCATGTGATGAAGTTGACTGCTGGTTTAACCCCAGGGCCTTCTGGTGTATAAGCAAGCTCTGAGGCAACCTAGCAGCAGTATTAGTTTTTCAGTATTAATTCTTCCTATTGGAGGGGGCATTTGGGATAATTCTGTGCCATGACCTGAAGGCATGATCATTATGTTCTACACTGATGTGTTAGTGCTTGGAACAATTATTCATGATGAAGCTAATTTGTATGATGAAATTAATACTTTTTTTCTGTCTTATTTTGTTGGTAAGTGTCTTGAGAAAAGAAATGTCTCACTTATATTCTTCAATTCCTCTTTGCTCTGTAGTCTTTCCATAATAAATATTACAGATGAGGAAAAGGAATCCAGCTGCAGAGTAACATTGTAGCTACCTTACAAATTTTACACTTTGTAAATGCTTCTTTGAAGTGATTTGTGTGGTTTGTAATGTAACATGCAAAAATGTTTGCAGGCTTGGAGTTTTAATAATGAAGTAGGAAGATAAATCTGAGTACAATATATCCTAATTTGACAGAGGAAAAGTTACAGCTTTGTTTAAAAACAAAAAAAAAAACCCCTTGCTATTATATGGGATATTGATACATGTTTATAGATATATATATATATCTATGAATGTATAGAAGTGCATATATATGTATACACCTAGTTTATGTGTGAGTACTATGTAAATAGCTATAAATAACTTGCTTTTAAAACATTATTTCACTTCTGTTTGTAGCATGTGAGAAAATGGATGTAACAGGATACTGCAGGGATCTAATCAAGATCCTTGAGCAAGCAGAAGACATGAGTGAGAAGCTCACCCCGCTGAAATTAATGGATGCGTGGTCTGGGAAGGGGGCACCAAAGCTCAGGGTGGCTGGAGTTACTCCTCCAAAGCACCCTCGAGAGGAACTGGAGAGAATTATTGCCCATTTACTGCTGCAGCAGTATCTGAAGTATGTAAGATGACTATTTCTTTGTTTTAACATCTAGTAGTTATTTTAAGTTACTTGTGTAATGTATTTAGTGGATACATTCTGTAGTGTCAGTTTTAGCCTTTATTTCAGATGCATTTAATGTATTTTAGAAAACTAAAAGTTTACTATATTTCTACTTCCAAATATTAAAACAAAAGTTGGAGGGACATTTGAAATGCTGCATCTATTCCAATTTTAAAAAGCTGTGGTCTTCTGTATTCAGGTTGAACCTTTAAATTTGTAGCAGGCTTCATTTTGGAGAAGTCTGCAGTTTATTCAGAGTCTCATCTACATGCCATGAATAAGCAAAGCAAATGGGGTTGCCCAGTTGAAGTCTTAAGTCAGGACAGGCTGGCTAATGTGGCAAGGGGTACTCAGAAATTTTAAGAAAGCATGGTGAAAATAACAACAGTGCTTCTCTGGTAACCTGTCTGTGTGGTGGGTGTTCTGTCCTTTCGTACACATTTAGAAGTTCCAAGAATAATCACAAATCAAATACTTAATCCCTTTGTTTTTGCCTTAAACTCTTTTTTGGCCTTTGTTTTTACAAAGGTGAACAGATGACTTACTATATGTTTTTTTCCTCCATGTATGCCAACAGATTGACTTGTGTATATGTACATAGAGGTCCACAAACTCAATTAATGTTAAGTGTTGAACAGTCTTGCTCTAAATTAATGGCCCTATCCACCTGAAGAGCAGAATCAAACTGCTATTTGGAACTTCCATCAGAAGGGTTAATGTGTCCCATTTCCCCCCCTGCATAGTCTGGCTTGCCTTTGTCTCCAGCTTTCACTTATAACACTGATGTAATCTGTGCAGGGAAGATTTCAGCTTCACAGCATTTGCTACAATATCCTACCTGAAGACAGGACCAAAAGCAGGTCTGCTGAAGAACGAGGCACACGTCATAACTATAGAAGGAATAACAAACAAGAAAAGTGTTTACAAGGTATTTGTATTTGTACTAACTTGCTATATAGATTTTTTCCATTATAGGTCATTTTAATAGTTTGCTATCTGCTCAGTATATTTTTCATAGTATTGCAATCAACAGGATTTAAAATAGACCTCATAAGTATCTTTTCTCTTGTGTTGGGAACACTGAAAAAGAAGGAAAACCCTGTTAGAATTTTAATAGAATTGTTTATCTCTTACAGGACAAACCATCTCAGTCTTCAAATTGGAATGGAAGCAGAGAAAATGCTCAAACTGTTCCAAAGACTGCCCAAGATTCAGTGGTGAAGAAGTCACAGGAACGTAAACGGCCCAACTGCAGCAACTCTAACTTAAAAGCAAAGAAGCTTAAGCTTCAGGCAGGTGGAGATGACCAACCAGTAGTTCTTGACTGAATTTCACAGGCTGCGTTTAGGATCTAATCATGTTTCCCTCTCCATGGACAATGCAGTATGTAAGTTCTGTTTGTGTTAGTAATGGTATTTTTTGTGCAGTTTAAAAAATAAAAACCAAACAGGGAAACAAGTATCTTTAAAACCCTCAAATCTAGAGAAAATCAAGTAGTCAAGGGAGAAATGCTTCACATCAAAGTAACTGGTGCGTGTCTTAGGAGACAACAGTGACTACAAAATGTAAACAATTGCCATGTGGCCTTTTTAATTCTTTCTGAAGTGTATAGTAACACTATTGCAGAATCACCCAGGCTGGAAGGGACTTCCAGAGGTCAGCTAGTCCAACTTCCTGCTCAGAGCAGCTCCAGTTGGAACAGGGTGCTCAGGGCTGTGTCCAGTGAAGTTTTGACTGTCTGCAAGGATGGGGATTCCACAGCCCCTGCCAGCATCTGCTGCAGTGTTTGACTGTATTCATGAAAAAAAAAAAAAGGAAAAGGAAAAATGGGACATTTCTTAGAGCATATTTCCTGTGTTGCAACTTTTCTGTTGCCTCTTGTACTGCCCTCTTCTGAGAGAATCTGTCCCCATTGCTCCTGTGCTCTTTCACTAGGTAGCTGAAGACAACAGCAAAGTCACAACAATCCCTCCCCCTTCCTCACAGCTTTCTTCTTCTTTACTCTGGAAGAAATAATGTTCTCAGTTTCTCTTCCCTAAGCCCCTGGTTCTCTTCTCAGAGCAGCTTGGCAGCCTTCTGCTAGACTCAATCCAGTGTGTTGGATCAGCATGTTGGTTTTTCACTGGGAAGTGCAGAACTTAAGGTAGTGTTCTAGCTGTAATCTCACGAGTGCTGAGTGCCCAGGAAGCCTTGGCTCAGGTTGCTGGCTGTGGGCTTGGTAAGGCAGTGTAACTGCAGAGGCCCACTGCTGGTTCACCTTCAGCTGGCTGTCTCCTGGGAGCCTGGGCCCTCTGCTGCAGAGCTGCTTTAACCAGCCTGGCCACAGCCTGCCCTGTCACACCGTGCTGCTCCCTCCCAGCTGCAGGGCTTCACTTGTGCTTTTAACTCAGAGGTGCCCACCAGCCCATGTGTCCAGCCTGTGCAGGTGCCTCTGAGCACAGCCCTGCCCTCAGTGTGCCAGCAGCAATCCCACCCTGCTGCTGCCTGCAGTGGCTGGGGGACACTCCCCCTGAGCCCAGGCTGCTGGTGAGGACCCAGGTGGTACTGGTGGTGACCACTGGTCTGTGAGCATGGCCACCTGTCAGTGGCCTCTGGCTGCAGCTCATACCACAGATCCCAGTTCTTTGAACCAGCTGGTCCAGACATCTTTCTGCCTACCTTATCCTACATTTATCCAGTTTATATCTCACCAATGTTTTTGGCTGTAAGGGAATTCTACAAGGTCGTGTCAAAAGCCATGCTGAAGCCAAGACAGACAACATTTGTTGCTAGCCCCTTACTCCACGGGCAGTTACCTCGGCCAGTCTGGTTGGTGAGGTGGGCTTTGCTCCTGCTAGCTCTGGTTGGCTCTGCCCAGTCACCTCCATGGGTCTGAAAATCTCTCCTGGAAGTATTTGCTTTTTAAGTTTTTGGGGGGCTGAGGTGAAGCTGACTGGCATGTAATTCCCTAGACCCTCCTTTTTGAAGATGAGTGAAATATTTGTCTTTTCCCAGTCATCAGGGACCTCGCCCAGACTCCAAGTCCCTTCAGAAATGGTACCAGCCTCGCACTGACCTCCACCAGCTTCCTCAGCATCCCTCAGTGCAGCCTGTCCCGTCCTGTGATCTGTGTATGGCCAGTTGGCTGAAGTGATCTGTCTTCACCTTCCTCTGCTGCTTCACTCCCATGGACTGTTTATGGTCTGGGACACCTGGAGGTCTGAGGACAAACCTCACCAGTGAAAATGAGGCAAAAAAATGGGACTACCTCAGTCTTTTCCATGTCCCATGTCACTAGTGCCCCTACCCCTCTGATCAGTGGGACCAGGTTTTTCTTACCTTGCCTTTTGCTGCTGAGGTACTTACAAAAGCTCTTGTAACTGCTTTTCACATCCTCTGCTAGTTCCACCTCCAGCTGAGCTCTTCCATTTGTAACTCCCTTGCTGTGTGCTCAGGCAGTGGCTCGCTTTGTTCTGGATATCTTCTACCTGCTGCCTCTTCTTAGAGTTTGAACGAACTGAGGACTCCTCTGTTCCCCCCGTGCTGGCCTTCTGCTGTGCCTGCTCAAGCTTTGGCACACAGGAATAGACTATTTGCGTTAGAGAAGGCTGTGGTTTGGGAATCAAACAGCTCTTCTTGAGCCCCTTTGCCTTCCAGGAGAGTCTCTCTGGGATCCTGGTAAGCAGATCCCCAAAGAAGCTGAAATCTGCTCTCCTGAGGTCAACGGTGGTGGTTCTACTGTGTCTTTCTCTTACCTGTTGAGTTTAAAAGTCTGGATCACACAGTCACTGAGCAACACCTGGGATCTGGGCATCCAGTAAGAAACAAACCTGTTGATGACTCCAGGTCAGGTTGGCAGCAACAGTCCCTGTCCCCCACAGGAGGGATTCTCTGGTAACTGATCTTTCTTCATCATGTGAACACTTGACTCAGGTTCAGCTGGCATGGATGCATCCCTTGGTGGAGTTCATCCTCCTCATCTTTCTCAGGACACTGTAGCTACGCTGAACAGCAGAGCTGCCGGTGGAAAAGGAGCCCTTTGTTTCCAGACTTCCCTGCTGTGGAAGTCTCCATGCATTGCTTCCATGAGGGCGGTCTCAAGGCTTTGCCTCCTTTGCAGCACAGAACTCGGGTGGTCCTGCTCTCTGCAGCGTCCCTGTGAAGACCCTGCCAGCTCCTGCTCCCCCTCCTGGCTCCTGCGCAGGCTGCTCAGCTCTCCCGCAGCGCCCTCACCGCCGGCTCGGTCCAGACTTCCCTGCTGTGGAAGTCTCCATGCATTGCTTCCATGAGGGCGGTCTCAAGGCTTTGCCTCCTTTGCAGCACAGAACTCGGGTGGTCCTGCTCTCTGCAGCGTCCCTGTGAAGACCCTGCCAGCTCCTGCTCCCCCTCCTGGCTCCTGCGCAGGCTGCTCAGCTCTCCCGCAGCGCCCTCACCGCCGGCTCGGCTCGGCT